AGCCAGAGGTGGGATTTGCTGATTCTCCAAACTGCTCAAAATTTCCGCTACCGGGTCTCCAGAACCTGCTGGTTTTCACCCTAGCACATAAAACAGTGACACAACTAACAGTTGGATCATCATGAGTCTACTTTCTTTCAGCTGGATCTTCTGTAGTTGATAAACCTGGGTAAATAGAAGAAGAGGTGATGTGACTGCAATTTATAAGATCAATCTCTTATCAGCATGTATACGGGAAAATTGACTGTATCTAGCTTAGTTTGAAGACACATATAAACTGGAAGTTATCTGAATGTGCCAAATGTAATGTGTCAAACTGCTGCTTCAATATAGTCTCTGAATAAAGAGCAGGATTTGTCTCATTATTGATCTTGGGATCCCAGGGCTTATAATGTTTACAGGGCACTTTAGTATTGTTTGTTGGTTAATGGGTCATGGGTTTAAAGCAGCCACTACAACTATGGATCTATATCTACTGGTTTTAAGTCAACTCTTTACAATGCTAGATTTAAGTGTTCTTCATAGGTTAAAATTCCCCAAATTTGCCCAGTGCCATGAGTGGAAGACATATTACATAATTCATCCCAAAAGGTTGTTGGATCTATCAAAAAGCCTTAGAAGGATCAGTGGTTGGTTCTATCAAGAATTTTCTTAATACTCTCATAATCAGAATAGAAAACTGACTATAGAAATTCCTACAGTCACGCATAAGCACTCTTTTTAAATTGTAAAAACTATATCTGAATAACTGGGCATGCCATGGAAGTTGAAGGAACAAAGTAGATTGTTAAACCAAAATGAAAGTAGGCTTAAGCCAGATTTAAATATTCCAAATAGCCATAATATAAAGATCATTTGAGGACTTAGTCTTTGGTAATACATATAGCAAAGTGCTAGAGTTTCTTTGTTTAAAAGCTTTTTTACCACAAGACATAAAACACAAGACATATAAACACAAATGAATGGGAGGACTCTACAGTCATCACCCTGAATATTCAAAACATATTTGTATCCCTGTCTGAAAATAATGCAACCTTACAGGAAATATTTTTAAAAGAAAAGTCAGGTTTGAAATAGCAAGTAGTAGCATTCAATTTATGAGAATGAAAATTTAACATATCAAATAAATAAGATATTACAATAAATACTGACAGATGAAGAAACTGCCATAAAAAAGAGAAACTAACAAAGGAGCAAGTTCAGTAGAAAAAAGCAATTGTCAAGATTCCCCAAAATGGGAATGAATTAAGCAGTAAATTTTCCAGACACTTGGGTGAGCATGGATAGGAAGTAGTATTGTAGTTCCTGTATTGTAATTCAGGAAATGAAGCCATTTCAGCTAGCTGACAGTGAGTGGGCAAGACAGAATTTATAGCCTTCTTTTTTATATGCCTTCCTTTGGTCTTCTTTTTCCCACAATTCCGAACTGCTTATTGAAGGCACTTGCTTGTTTGCATTCATACTATGAAAATCTCCCTGAGAATCTCCTGCTGTTATTTGCAGTGTTCATAATGATAACCAATTCCCACCCAAAGATTTAAAAGACATCACTAGAAATCAGAAAAAGCTTTGAGATCTTTGCTTGAAAAACAGACTGGAAGAAATGATAAACAGGAAATAGATTTTAAAAGGACAAAATAGATGCAGAACCATCTAGAAAGAAGACAAAGAAGAACTATTGTGGTTGCCAACTCAGCACTGTGAAGAATGGAAGTAAATTGCTAATCAAGTACATTAGATTATAAAATAGGAAAAAGAATTAAGGAAGTGATAAAATGTCTAAGTCTTCTCAAGCCTTACATCAAGAAGCCCTGGATCAGGAGGTTTTCATGATCAGTCACAGCTTAATCACTCCTGTCTGGGTTCCTACAATAAAGTTTACATGGGGTTGCCCTTGGTGACCATCTGGAACCTTTGGTAGGTCAAGAATGCAGCAGCCTAAATAATTATGAATGTATAATACCTCTACTCTGCAATCTGCATGAGTTACTAGTACATTTCCAGGTTCCATACACCGCCTACTAAACAACATACCCACAAAGATGACACCACCACAGAACACTCCATGTCTACAGAAACCATCATGAAACTTCTGGATGTTTCATGTGCCTCAACACATACTTCAAGTTCAACGGGAAAATCTATAAACAAGTACAAGGTATCCCGATGGGATATATTAGGAAAACTGCCACTATTGCAAACCCACACTTCTAGGTACAATTCAAGGTGGTAGTTGACCCATAAAGATCTTCAGATGGGACTGTCTATCTTCAATTACAACCCCAATTGAGCATAAAAATTTCATTGCTAAGCAAGACAGTTAAGTGAGTTTTACCCCATTTTTATGACCTTTCTTGCTGCAGTTGTTAAGTGAATCATTGTAGTTATTAAATTAATAATACAGTTGTTAAATGAATCTGGCTTTCCCATTGACTTTATCAGAAAGTCGCAAACAATGAATACATGACAACCAAGACATTGCAACCATCATAAATACTTGCCAGTTGCCTAGAGTCTAAATTTTGATCATGTGACCAGGTGGATGCTGCAATGGTCCTAAGTGTGAAAAACGGTCATAAGGTACTGTACTTTTCCGAGTATAAGATGCATTTCCTCCCCCAAACATCGGTGAAAATTGCAGTGTGTCTTATATATTGAATGTTGCTGAAGCCCCGCCTATCCACCGGCCCCCACCCTTTGGCCATTTTCGGTCTCTGCGCATCATGTTTTTGGCCTCCGCATGCCCCATTTTAGACCCATTCCAGGCTGCAGGGATTGCCACAGCACATCACTGCCAATTGCCTCCTCCATGTGTCATGTTTTTGGCTTCCGCGCATTGTGTTTTTGGCCTCTACACGCTCCATTTTTGCTCTCTGCTCATCACATTTTTGGTTGGTTGCAGGCACCGGGGATTCCCGCTGCCTGGAACAGCTGATTGGCAGTATTCAAGGAGGCTATTCCAACCACCAATCAGCTGTTGGTGCTAAATCAGGCTGCAATAATGTGCTGAAGCTAACCAGGCTGTTTGCTGTTTGCTGCAAGGACACTAGCAAGATGAATACCAATGGATGCTGGTAGGCAGAGGCAGATTTTTTTTTCTTGTTTTCATCCCCCAAAACTAATGTGCGTCATATACTCCAGAGCATCTTATACTCCGAAAAATACGGTACTTTTTTCAGTGCTGCTGTAACTTAGAACAGTCACTAAAGTAATGGTTGAAAGCAGTGGAGAAATGTAAAATTTGTTACTACTGGTTCTGTGAGCAGAGTTTTAAAAGGCTCTGACAATCAAGCAACTCAGCTCGGCTGAAGAGTTTGTAGAAAAAATGTTTTTAAAAGGCTCTGATGATCCCAGCTGAGCTGCACAATCATCAGAGACTTTTTTTTTTACCTTTTAAAAGCATTTGTAGAAAAAATGCTTTTAAATGTAAAAAAAAAAGCCTCTGATGATTGTGCGGCTCAGATGGGCATGGGGAGGGGGCAGGGATTTCTGCCACCGGTTCTCCGAACCACCCACCGCCATCGCCATCAAGCGATCCGGTCCAAACCAGGAGCATTTCACCCCTGGTTGAAAGTCAAGGACTACCTGTATCTATCTACCCCTATCTATCCAGGAAAATCCAACAGGAAAATCTAATTAGAATGGATTTCATCACTGCAGCAATACAAGTTGGCTGGACCAGCAAGTGTTCCTTCTCTGTGCTGCTCTTGCCTGGCACCTCTGTGTTTATGTGTTTGGGGTTTGTTTGTTTGTTTTTTTGCTTTGTTTTTGTTTATTTTGTTTTAAGTTTATTCTGTCATTTTCATATGATTATTACTGTTTTGATAACATACATTGTTGTGTGCTGAGTACAGTAGCTATATAATTTTTAAATAAATAAAAATTATTTTTTCTGGTAATATGTCTGGATAAACAGTACAGCTTCAATTATATCAGTATGATTTTTAAAGACCAGATTAGAAGGCTTGAGAACCTGGTCATTTGGATAGTATAGTTTCCCATCCATTCATTCGACGGAAAGGGAGTGGAAAGATAAGTGGAAAAATCAGATGAATACTGGTTATGCAAATGCCTCCCTGGGTACATAGTTTCTGGCAGTACTGAAATATAGAAGTATCTGGATGATAAACTGTTAGGATGAGATGAATTGCCTCAGAAGGACTCATAAAAATGGATCTGATTAAAACACAGTGAGCTTGATAAGGAGAAACAATCCTGGGAAATTGGAAACAGAAAGCCTGAATTAAGGACCATAGATAAAGACTTTTGCATTGGACAAGTGGGAATGTTCCTGTCATGGGACCCGTTAAACTGCTCAGTGGAAAACCAGGAATAACATTGGCTCATAAAGCTCACAGCCTTCACTGTCTACACATTAAACCTCTAACTATGGGAAATAAACAAGATGAGGTTGAACTCTTAGTAGGGAAACATGTGATGAAGATCTGGTGGGATTACTCCCATGATTGTAATATAGCAATTGAAGGATATAATTTGTTCAAAAGGAATAAAAAGAATAGAAAGCAAGAAGGAGCACTGCGCGCGAATATACAGACCTGCTCAGAAATCCAAGGAAATGAATAGTGAAACTGTACAGAGTTCTCATGGTTAAAATAAATGACAGAACAAATAAAGGCAATATCATCTGCCCAACCAGGGAGAAGATATGGGTGATGGTTTCCCAAAACAAATTGCAGATTGCTCTGAGGCATGAAATAGTAAACACAGGGGACTTTAATTACCCAGATATCTTTAAAAGACAAGCTCTGTGAAGCATGATCCTTTTGGGAAATTCCTGACTTGTTTTGCTGACAGCTTTTTCATCAGGGGATAGAGAAAGGGACAAGAAGATTGTATTAGTTATCATCTGAAGTCTGCCTTTAGTTGAGCTTAGGTCCTGGTGATCTCATGGGCATGATCATAACATGTGTTATTTCAATATTTGTCTTTGCACTATCACTCTGAGTGATATTGAGTGGAATACATAAAGTTTATTAATTTTACTTCTCAGTGTTTTGTTCTGGCATGCGTCTAATGATGTCAGAGTCACCTTGGTCAATTATAGAAAGTGTACATACTCTGTAGAACTTCCCACAAGGTGTTCCCAGTTCAATATTGTTGCCACTGTAGTGATGCACACCAGTTCTGGCCAACATAGCATAGTACTCAATTTCTGATTTTCTCAAAGCAGGACAGTTATTGGCTAGGATAACCAACTTGGCTTTGTCCTGCCGAATTATTTTCAGAATTTGTTTATATCCAAGTACATATTTACCACTTTTCATAACCAGCTGAAGTCTAGAGTTTATGGACTCTAACGACTTTTTTGTCTTCTTGGCGGCCACCATGTTGCCGGCTCACGTTGGCCCTGCCATTGCCAGAGGAGCACCTCCAAGATGGCTGGGCAACGAGGAAAGGAAGGAAGTCTCTCACAGCAACGCCTAGGACCATGCGGGTCAGCGTGACCGACAGCGACTCTCGCGAGAGCGGACAGCTCATTTCCCCACCCCCACCCAAGAATACATAAAGAGATTAACTTAGTTATGTGAAGCTTGATGATGTTATAGATTAAAAAGATTTTCCTATAAATAAGTACATAGGAATCATGAGGTTATGGTCTAAGATTACAAATAACTAACAATGTAGTTTCCCTGACACTAACATTTAACAGTAACCAAATAGGTTATATGAGTTCCTGATTTCATATTTATTTACTTGTATCCTGCCATTATTTTTTTTACAAATAACTCAAGGCAGTGAATACATCCAACACATCTTCCTCCTATTTTCTCTACAATGCCAAAATGATCAAGCAATATTAGTATCCATTGACCTGCATTCCAAACTTAATTTAAAGGATGTAAAATAAAGCATTTGTTATTTGGCTTTAAGCAATAAATCATATAAAACCATGCCATGCCACACTCAAAACCCGGGAGGGCACATTTAAGAGAGAAGACTCCTTTCGATGCCCAACCAAGTCTTGGTGACAATAGCCAGACCAGCTTTCCCATTATCAGACATATTGTGGATGAAGTAAGTTTCATTGCAGGTAGACCTGGCATTAAGCAGTAGCAGCCAAAGACCTGAGCCACCAAAGTTCAAGAAACCATGTCCTGTAACTCAGCACAGGAAGTCAGAATGTGGAGCCGGTATTAAACATTGGAGTCACCTTCTCTGAAAGCAGCCCACCCCGTGTCTCCTACCTTATCTCTCCATGACCATCACAACTGCAATGCCCTTCCTTATTCTCTCACCTACTTCCCTGTCTGGATCCCTCCCACATCTCCTCAAGGCAATCATCCACATCCAACCTGGAACAAAGATAGCTGCCCTTTAGGGAGATATTTATAGGCCTCCACCAGATCCTTTTAGCTATTTGATCCACTACAGTTGCACCGGCTGCCTCAGGTGTTCCTACTTTTCCAGTTCCTTTTGTTGGCCCAGGCAACTGATACAAATGTTGCTGGCTGACCAGCACAATCAAACATCTCCACACACCATCTACATCACCCTCAAAATTCCCAGCAAAGTAACTTCCAAATAGGCATCCATCTTGGAGAAAAAAAATGAACCAACTCCTTTTACATGTTAATCATAATATACTTATCGAAAACATCTTTTCTTACATTCCTATATTTCAGTCCTTCTCCAAGCCTATTTTTCTATTTCTGCTTAATTCATTTAATTTAGCTGACATCTAAGGAAAACTAGGAATTATGAAAATTTAGTGGAAGCCCAAAAGTGTGTGTCTATAGTATCCTCTGGTGGTTAGTAGGTGTATTTGCAGGATATATCATAGGCAGTTGAACTTCCTGGGACACTTTTATTTTGACATAAAACATATCGCTTGGTTTTCAGGCTGTATATACAAATTATATACAGCCTGAAACTGTAGCTCAGGTTTGTAGGAGTCGGGTGTTCATCAAAGATAGATTTATTAAATAGAACCTATAAAACAGACAACCTTCCATATTTCATGAACATAGACAAAATTTTATAATGTGTGTAGTTTTAAACAGCACTCCATTTTTAAAAATAGCAAGTTATGTTCCTGAGCAATTTTTGGCAGAACAAGATTTGTAAATGAATAGGAACCAATAGCTCATCAGTATTTAATGCAACTGTGCATATTTAAAAGGCAACATCTCTCTGCTATTCATTAAAACAGCTTCTTTTTCAGGCTTCTATCTTATGGACTGCCCGTAACATACAATAATTCTGAAAGTATAACCATAAGGTTTGGGTAAAAGCTTGAGAAACAAAAAGAGAAAAAACAAAACAAACTAATGAAAACCAACCCAGCTGCTTTAAAGAGTGGCAGCAGATAATTGTTCTGAATCATTTTTGAAGCATGCAGAGAAGAGCCAAAGCATTTCTTCTTAATCATTTTTGAAGCATGCACAGCCCAAGTGTTTAATATATCCTTATCTTTGTCAGTAGTACAGTTTAATTACCTGATGAACTCTTGTATATACTCTCCCCTTTACCAGGATTACCATCTCTGAGCTGCGGGTTTCCGATAACTACCTATGGTTATGAAAGTTGGACATTAAGTTTCAGTTTCAGTTTATTTAGATTTATATACCGCCCTACTCCCGAAGGACTCAGGGTGGTGAACAGCCAAGATAAAACACATACAATATAAGATTTAAAAAACAATTTAAAACGTATTAAATAAATTTGGCCTATACTAATTAAAATACTCCTGTTTTTAAAAAACAAATTAAAATTAAACAATTAAAAAGAGTTAAGCCAGCCCAGCTTGTTGAAATAAAAAAGTCTTGGGGGCGTGGCGGAAGGTGCATAAATCCGGGATTCTCCATAAAAAAAAAAGCAAGATTGGATCAAGATTAAAAATCATCCTTTTTAAAAAAGCAAGATTGGAAGAAAATGGATTTGTTTGAAATATGATGACAGAGAAAGCTCCTATGTATTCCTTGGACACTAACGGTGACCAACAAGCATAAAACCAGACATGTCACCAGAAGACAAAATTACAAAACTGTGTCTCACTTATTTTGGCCACGTCATGCAGGGGAATTCACTGGAGAAAGCAATTATCTTGGGTCGAGTTAGCAATAAAAGGAAACCAGGCCACCAAAAGTCATGTTGGCTGGACACCATCAAAGCTGACACCTGCCAGTGCATAGAGAAAATCAAAGAAGTCATGCAAGATTGGAAGATCTACAGGAACCTGGCCCATAGAATCACCCAGAGACAATATGACTGACTGGATAACATCGTCATCATCATCTGGGCTGGAAGAAGGAGAAGGAAGAAGAGAAGGAGGAGGAAAAGGAGGAAGAGGAGGAGGAGGAGAAGAAGAAGACCAAGACTGCATCAAAAAAGGGCATTTTTAAAATCTTTTTCCTGCCTTCTGTTAGCCCCCCATTTTGTACCCTCCTGCCTTACTTTTCATAATGACTGGTTTAAATGACTGGCCAGTTTATCCATGATGGGTCTTTGGAAGGTATAGGATGAAGTAAGAATAAACTAGAGTTCAGGATGTCAGTTACAAACCTTAAAAGTATAGTTTCTGTCAAGTTGACTCTCTGTATGGTTGGCATTGTAGCCAGGTATTGGGTAGCAGCCTGGGAAAGAATTAGTGACATCTCTCAGGAGGATCAGTCTTTTATTATTTTTTTTACATTTAGGAAAAAACCCTACATTTCCACTCTAATATCTTCTGCGTATGTGGCACCATCTTAATATATAGAAATGTTGCTTCTATGAATTTTGAGTTATACATGCATGTAGGCATATATATGTAGGCATATATACCATATATAGTAAAAAAAACACACATTAGTGCTAGATAGTGAAATAATCAAGTAAGAAAGGATGATATAGTAAGGGACCAGCCATAGAAAGCTGCCATGTATCACTGTCATTCTTAGATATAAGAATAATTATGTCTCTTCATATCAAATGAAACAATCATCAAATATGTTGGACTGGGATTTACAGTGAATGGAATTTCAACCAATACTTTAACTTCTTCTTTTGTTAAGGTCTTCACTGAAAATAAATGCAAACCTTTGGTCGTATAGAGAGGTAAGGGAAATTTTAAAGCTTGTATAACTGCTTCATTGTAAGAATGCTAAACTGGACAAAAATTGCTTTAAAAATCTTAAATGTGACTATTTGTAATGCAGCCTTTGGACTTGGACGGATTCAATTTACAGGATAGTCAGGGAAGGAAATGATGTGTATAAGCTATTCACACCCACTTTCATCTGCATGAATCTGCCCACAGAGTAGTTTTCACATTGCTTCATGGTATTATTCATAGAGATAACATCTCTAACAAATTTCAGCTCTAGACTATGAATTCCATGAACAATGCAAACACTTGTGGTTATTCAAATAGATCTATTTTTTAATGAAATACTGTTCTCTGCAGTCTTTTTTTTTTTTTAATGGTACCAAGGGTCTTTTTCCATTCAAGTTTTTTTTCCTCTCTCTATGGAGAAGATACCACAAATTCCTTTCACTCATCTTAAGATAGTCATAGCTTGTAGTCTTGTTTATTTGTGATTCATTGTGAATTTTTCAAAGTTAAGCAACTCTTTAGTTCTTGACTGAGCAATTTTTTCATCACTACAAGAAGAGAATAAGATGTTAGATATATAAATTAATATTTTGCCTCTGGTTGTCTTCTCCTTATTAAAATGTTGCACAGCTGGAGAGGCCACCTGTAGTATAGAAGATTCCACTATAATGTTGTAGAGACTTATTGATATATGAATCACCTTCTTTCTAACTTCAGTTTATGCCTTTAGGGAATGACATATGGAGTACAAGATGCTTTTAACACAGACAGGTTGATTCTACCAGAACTTCTTTTTCAAACCAAATATGAAGATTAAGGTGCTTTTAACACAGCCAAGATGATCTTACAGAACTTTTTTTTTACAACTGAAGAAAAAACTATTAATAATTTATTTTTCCTTTTTTCTTTTGTTCAGTTTTAATGATGAACTCTATGTTTATTACAACTGCTGCAAATATTTTTCCTCCTGAATAAGGAAATATACTTATAAATTATCTTTGAATTCAGACAATTATCAATATTTAATAAAACCAGATCAAAAGACAAAAGTCATTGGGTGCTAAGTAATAAAATGAAATTCAATAGTGAAAAAGTAAAGTTCTACATTTAGGCAAATGCCCAGGTATAATATAGTTGGTTCCTGGCTCAATAGTAGTAACTGTAAGAGGGATCTTGGAGTCCAAATGGACAACCATTTAAATGTGAGCCAGTAGTATGCTGCAGCTGCCAAAAAGGCCACTACAGTCCTAGGTTGCATTAACACAGGGATAGAATCAAGATCACATGAAGTGTTAATATCATTTTAAAATGCCTT